GTATCTCTGAGGGTACAATACAATACAATCTAAATATGACGGGAAAACAAATGAAATCAAACATGGAATTGAAGGTCTTTGAAATGTGACATTGGGCAAAACCAAAGCAATTTATTTGTTTTACAAGCAAGCTTCAATTTCCATCTACAGAAAACATTTTCCATCTAATGAAAGCTAAATCATACCTTATATATGTAGAATGGTGTGTCTTGCTTCATACAACATATTTGGAAAGGACATTCAAAACTTCCAAAGGGATCACAGCCTACTTGCAAGTAATGCTGAAGTTGTCCATTATGATGTCATTTCTGCTAATAACATAGCCCTTTTCAAGGCTGGTTTGAGTTGCATGAGCAGTGTTCAGTCTTTGTATTGTCATCTATTCTTTTCATGCCAGGCTCTTTTGTTATGATCAGAAAGTTAGTGTGTTTGTGTTGAATTTGTCAGTTTGTTATTTTCAGTTATTGTTTTTGCCCCTTAACTCCAAAACCGCCATTTTGTTTCTTTTTATTGTTTTTCGTGTTTGAGTTATTTGACTTTCTTTTTGAATAGTAGAATGGTGGCTTATTTTTGAGCATTTTTATTTTGGAATTTGTTGTTGTTCATTTGATTTAAGCTCCCATGTGTGGCAATAAATGATTCAGTAGTCTCCTACATCATATTCTTTATCTGGTTTAATATTACTTTGGTTGTGAACTTAGGTTCATAACAAAGACATGTAACAAACTGGCTTGGTGGTGAGGGTGTTGAAACTGAAGACAAACGTTTGAATTACTGGTACTTAATTGATATTCCCACCTATGGTATTGATGTTTGGGTTCTAACAAAATACAAATGCCTTCAAAGTAGATTGTGCTTTGGTGCCTGCCAAATAAATTATTATGACTGTTCACTAAAGGGCTCATACATTAACTAATGTTTTATCACTTTGGATAGATTTAGTCAACTGAAATGTCTTAGTTTATGTTGAGTATAAAGATCAATGGTTGAAGGAACAAATGTTGACTGAAGAGCAGAAAGAACATCAGAGTTATGTTTTGCGAATATTTTATTCCCAACATTTTACACTGGCCTCCATAGTAAGAGGTCTATGTACTTGTATTGCCTTAGGCAAAAGAGACCAGTGCTGTTTTATGTTCCAGTGTAGACTGTTTAAAATAAGCTGTTGGATTTAAGAAAAATACATTGGGTTGTCTGGGTGCATTCATGTCTTGCATCATCATACGTTGATCTGCACCATTGTTCTTATTCCCAGTTCTGACCCATACCAACTTTTCAAAAAATGTAATCCCATTCTCTCCTCACACTGAAAAATCCAGACCACTGTACCCCGACTTCTCTTTCTTTCTGTATGTGTATCGTGCATCACATTTTCTGTGTCACGGCCAATACATCTTGCACTAATGGGATGGGGTGAGAAGTTAAGACAGAGTACAAAACCTGCTCCTTTGCACTGGAAGACAGTTGAAATGTTTTGGCATCTGGTTGGAAAGTCTCCTGATTGCCTCCTTGTGGAGCTGGTCCAGGTGAGGCTTTATATAAGCTCTCCCCCTCATAATACCCTTTCGCTTGAAGTTATTTCTGCACAGATTAGATAACGGACTTGTTATTTATATTGCCACGGAGAGGACAGGAGATTGGGGTGACTAATGCCCGGCCGGTTCAGAGCTGGAGCTTGAAAAGCACAGTTTTTTCCTGTTCACACCGCAGCGGAGTCGCCTCTAAGCTCCGGAATCCAGTTAGTTTCAAGCACCAAAAATGTGTCGGTCTAGAAAGCAAGCACCGCATACGTCACGCTTACGTCGGAGGCGGGGGCAGGGGCGGCATCCGCCTTCCCGCCAGCTTCAACATGATCTGTGGAAATAACATTGAGAATCAGTTTTAATGTTATACCATAGTAATTAATGCTGCAAAGCTGGGTATTTTGAGCTTGGCGCATGCAGAGGCTAACAACAGCTAGCTCTAACGCCATCGAATAGGACGAATATTTACCTTCTTTCTCCTACGGAATCGTCGTTGAAGTTGATAATGATGATTGTAAAGAACTTTTGAATGTAGCATGTAACGACTGTAAAGATGGTAGTAAAGTCGTCCCATTTCTTCCATTTCGTTTCGACAAAACCAAAACGAGTAGCGCTTCAATACAATCGGCCATTGTTGTCGATGTGAGGGGTTTCCGCGCGGTTTGGCTTTATGAAGCAGGCACGCAAACGGTTACGTCATGACGCAAACGATGACGCAATGACGCAGCAGCAGTCGGGCTCTGAGCGGTGTGAACAGAGCGGGAGCTGCACCGAAGAACCGGTTCCGAACCAGACAAGCTCTAGCACGGAGCTAGAACGGGAAAAGCCTTGGTGTGAAAGGGGCATTATAGGTCCCATGTCATGCTTTTCTGGTTATTACCCGTCCCCTTGTGTGTTATGAAGGTTTTTCTGCATGTAAACGGTCTGCAGAGTCACAAACCCTCAAAGTACACCCTGTAGCGAGTACAACTCTAACACAGAAAAGACCTGTCTATGCTGCCCCAGAACGCCTCGTTGGAGATTTCTCTTTTTCCATTGTTTTCTTCCTGGGTACAGTGACGTGCCCATACCCAAATGGACCAATCCCTGGAGCTCCTCACACACACACACACACACTCTCTCAGCAGCGAAATTGTGACGCGCTAGGGGGTGCTAGTGGCTTACACCTCGCAGCGGCTTACACTGTAGGTGTGCCACGTTTGGGGGTGCGGGGGGGGGGGGGTTCATTCGTGATGTCTCGCTGTCTCGCAAATCGCACGCAGCAAGCAGGAAATGAACCCAGCTCACACTGTCCGCTCCGCGCCACGTCCCGCCAACACGGCACCCAGACCCCACGCAGCATTCTCATCTGTTTGTCCTTACTGGTGTCATTTCCTGGTTGCTAACGCATGTTACACATGTAACATGTATGTAACACATAATCACTGATGTTCCGCTGTAACGGTGGTAGACTCATCAGAACAGAGTGGGTGAGCTGACCAATCAGAGCACAGTGAGCTCAGTACACATACTATACAGAGATGCTGTATGAGAAACTAATGTGAGTTTGGAAAATTGCACAATATAAATCTATTCTAGTAGACCTCAACAATGGAATTATGATCAGTAGAAATGGCCATGACATGGGACCTTTAAATCCTCACCGCAGCGCAGACCAATGTAAATATATTAAAGGGGAGACAGGAACTATCTCTAGGTTACTGTAGAACTTAATGAAACTGAATTGAATTGTTCCGAGATCAATGCTAAGCTGTCAAAAATCAGCAGAATGAAACATGAATTTCATTATAAGCTCTGGCTTTTTCCCCCTCAGTGATTTCCCCTCTTTACTCTGTGGCATTTTCTTCCTCAGAGAAGGTGAGAGAGGGTACAACTGAGATGCTGCCTGTCTGTCAGTTCTTTGTGGGGAAGATTTCTCCCAGAGAGCAGCTTTATGCGCTGCCGGCTGCCATGATTAACGTATTTACAGGGATATAAAGGGCGAAAGGCGGAGAGCCGGACGGGGAGAAAAAAATAAATCAGACGAGCACTCATCGAAACTCGATGAATCAGATAATGGGAGTAAGCTGCACACAGAATGAACATGCGTATTAAGTATCCATTGTCAGGATCTGTGCGGGGAGCGAGGCAGGGTCGATGGAGTTGATCCCGGTTTAATTCAGCTGTCAAGGAACGTTTGAATTCCCACACATGACTGTTGGGGAAGTGAAATGTGGCACACAGTGATTCATGTTGGGTGAGATTTGAGTTTTGTTTGAGCGGATTTTACGTTTCAGTCAACATGCCCGAGTCGTGGCGGTCTAATCCGTCTGGCGGGGCTTTACGGAGGGTTTCCCAGCCGTCGTTAATTAACCCAGAGGTCGATAGATATTGCAACTGTGAGCAATCACAATTGGAACTCCCTTTGACTAGCACATCTTCAGAGGGTGTACAGTGTGTGCTCCGAGTGTGTGCAGGACATTGTGTGTGCTAGTTGTAAAAATCCTCTGCGACCGGGTGGGTGCACGTCTCTGTATATTTGATCCTGCTTTTCCTTCCTACTGCTTCATTCTTTTTGATTAATTCTTTGATTGCCGGCACTGAGAGTCCCATTAAGCTGAAATTCAAGAGCGTGTGTGTGTGTGTGATTCTGACAGTTTGAGCAGGAAGTATAATGTTTGTGTGCGTGCCTCCCTTTCATCTCCCATGCGTTGTCGCGACGCTCTGCCCTCAGTGTGCCCGCCTCAGATGCCAGGCCATTTCACAACCTGCTTCAAAGAGCTTCTCACATTTCCAGTCGCTGCCTGTAATGTCTCTTTCGGATCTCAAGACCTCCTGCAAATGGCCTCTAATTATTTCTCTTGCCTCCATTTCTACTATTTCGCAGCCTCTCTTCGGTGTTCTCAATTTTCTTTAACCCTTTAATCTTTGTGTAATATCTGCAATTTACCATGGCATATGCAACTTTCTGTGTACTTGATTATTTATATTACCTAATACATTGTATTTTCTTTTTATTATTTGTACCGTATGGACGTTTGCCTGTAAACATAGGCACACAATTCCCCCTTCTTGGTTTACAGTAACTCCAATCAGTGAAAATGTCCTCTCTTTTTAACTTAATACGAACAAAGTTTCACTCTCCCCCCTCATTTCTCTCCCACTTTCTGAATTTCATCATCTGTACCTCTTTTTGCATTCTCCTTCTTCTCATCTTCAGCTTTCCGTTTCTAGCCTCTTTTTCTCCCTCAGGGATCAAACACCTTGCTCTCATAACAACGGGGGCAAGTAATCCCTTTTTAAAAGCGTTTCTCTTTTATTCTCTCCTCTAGTGCTGTACTGTTTTAACTCCTTCTCCCCTCCTTGTCTTTTCTCTCTCCAAATTACTAATCTCTTGCTCACAATTTGCTCCCTCTTTACTATGAAACTAAACCTGTTTATTCTCGTCTTTTTTCTCTCAGCTGCTCCTATTTTTGACCTTAATCTTTTCTCTTGCAGATGAGATTGATATGTTGGAGCGCCTCTGGCTGTCGGGTATCTGCCACAATGATAAGATTGAGGTATGACATACAATAAATGATCTCTGCGTTGTCCATCAACATGTAACAGCGTCAGCCTCTGAACTGTTTTGAGATAAAACTAAATGTAATGCTGTTGTTACTGCTTACATATAACCAGACTTTATCATCATCATTCCCCTATATCATTTGAAAAAAACTAACTTTGAAGGGATCATTTTTTAAGTATAGATTCTCTGCAGAGCATTTAACCTTACATGTTATCCAGTTTTTGAATTATTCTTCTTTATTACATATGTAATGACACTCATCTCCAGTAATTTTGTGATGTACAAATCAACAATAAATATTTAGTAAGTGACTGCAAGATGGCTGCAGAAGAGAGCCATTAAGGTTCAAATTGATCAATATTACGTGAAAGGTTTTTTGCATGATATGAACCAGATTATGTTGTGGTGACTGACATGTTTTCCCAATTGCATCAGAGTTCTGAGTGCAGGGGCTCTAAAATATCACAGATGGGTGCTCTGAAACATAATGACAGCAAACAAATCTGTTTTGTACTGGTGGTTATAATTAACTTTTTATCTGGCTATTATCACCTTTTACAACATTTTCAATCCCGTTGCTCATCTTCCCGTCTTCCGTACCCGTCTCCAGGTAATGAGCAGTAAACTGGACATAGACAACATGGCGGGGGTCTTCTACATGCTGCTGGTGGCCATGGGTCTGAGCCTCCTGGTATTTGCCTGGGAGCACCTTGTGTACTGGAAACTACGGCACTGTGTGAAGCACTCCGGTGGGATGGACTTCCTCCTGGCTCTCAGCAGGGTGAGAAAAAAATACAGATACCTCTCTTATGCCTCAACAACACTTTGCCTCTTGGTTTATTGACTTGGCATGAAAAACACTTCAAAGATTAAAACATGTATTTCTTGATTTGAGGATCTTGGCAAGCTCAAGCGGCCTTATGCATGTAGATTACAATACAACACAATTTAATGTACTTAAAAAAAACACATCAAGAAGATTGGTCCAAGAGTGGCAATATCTTATATTTTTACATTTAATAAAAAAGGATGCATCCAGCCACTGTTTAAAAACAATTGTGAAGTATTCATGATTATAGAATTGGGTGTCATCTGCATAACAAATGAAATGTATACCAAATGTAACTTATGGCAGCATAGGCAATCATAATGAAGTCAAGGAAAGAGCATGAACATTTCTCTCCTAGGTAAAACCAAGATGTCTTTGTCTGATTGGTGGAAAGTATTTTGCAAAAAACGAGCAAAAACACCCAAACACTAACAAATTAGTACATAAATACACGAGTACTTTGCGGAAATGGAGTTGATAGTGTCAATGATGTGGTTAAAAGACTGCAGGTGAAGAAGGTGGCCTATAGATGCTACCAATAGTTAAGCATTTATTTTCATGAAAAATAATTTTAAGAAAAATGCATTCAAAATGTAGAGGCTCTATAGAAGTAGCAATTAGCTCAGTCACAAGGTCAGAGGAGACATAAATAGCCACACCTCCACCCCTGCTGCATCTATCAGATCTGTAAAGCAAATCATTTGTGATTTGTAGTTCACTATCGGAAATGTTACTACTAAGCCAAGTTTCAGAGAGTGTGATGATTTTAGGTTTATGTAGAACAACCCATATCCGAAGTAAATCCATTTTGGGCAATAGACTCCTGATATTCAAACGAATGATTTGTATACCCTTTAATTCATCCAGTCTGGAATGAATAGCAAATAATGTTCCTGTCACTTGTTACGCATACATGCGATTCATGGTTGGAAAGATTGCTAGATTCAACCATTAATGTAAAACATTCAAACACAAAAAGAAAAATACTGAAAAAATATATAGATGAAGCAAGCTTAATGAACAGTTTCCAGATACAATCAGGAAATGGATTGCAAAAAGGCATGTACCACTTAATACTGGTAGTTGTTTGTTGCACTCAGCAAGACAAAAGGAAGTAGAGCCAAAAACAATAACATCAATGTTGTTTGTATACGGCATCACGCCAAGGGTCCAGGGCAGGGTGATCACAGCTATTTTCTTTAAAAGCCAATGCAGCTTCTGTTAGTTCAGCCCTGTGTAATATAAAGTACAGGTCCTAGCTAGACTTTCAAAGTTCGATTTATTGTTTTATGTCCTATATGACTATGTTGCAGGGACATACGATTTTCATTGGCATTTCTACACTATAGCTACTGTGCATATGGCAATAAAGCCTTGAGTCTTGAATTTTGAAACGAGGCCCAATAATGCTTTTGGGGATTTCCCCCTGTGTTATATAGTTTTCTGTGCATGTAAATGGTCTGCAAAGTCTAAAATCCCAAAGTTCCCTCCAGAGGGAGTTTCTCTCCCACACACTTCCCCCTGCCTGAAATGCATGAATTTACTCCTTTGTTAAATTCCTTAACATAAGGACATCTCTATGTAACACTCGTGCTTCTATTGGCTAGTGTTTCAACACAATGCACGTGATAGGCTAAGGGGCGGGACAAGTGGTTGACCAATCACAACAGAGCCAGGCAGCTAACTCATAATGGCAGAATGGTCAAAAGAGGTGCTGCAGCACTGACAGTATGAGAAAAATAAAGCACTGTTTGAACATTCAGGCATTTAAACATGTCACAGTAGAGGCACAAATTACAAATATGAAACCTGAAAATGAAAGAACAGCAAGCTAATGAGATAAGATGGGATGAATTAACTAGAAGAATTAGAATAAGATAAGTTGAATTGGTAAGAGAGGGATGGGAAAACATAAATGCGCTGATTTGGGAGGGAAAATTAGAGGAGTGGGAAGGTAGGGGAGGAAAACTTTGATAATAAAATAGAAGACAGCCAGCCAAGAAGACAGCTGTTGGTTTGAATGGCTGGGGTAGGGAAATATAGCAGGTGCTGATGAGATGCCAGAAGGAATGACAGGGACAGAGAGGAGAAGGAGGACAGATGTGTGGTGGTGGGGACTGTTGAAGTGGAAAACAGGCTGCATAGAAACATCGACCATATATTCTTGCTGGTTGTGGGGGGGGGGGATACACTTATGTTAGAATGACACCATAAAAATGTGATTCACTACCCCCTCTTGCTTTAAAAGCAGAGAAAGTTGCTAATTTATATACAGTGGAAGTGTTTCTTATTTGCACTATAAAGAGCAGGAAGAAGAAATCGAATAAGTTCAAAGCATAGAAAATAAGAGAAGTACTCTAAATCTATAATTCTACCAGCAAAAAACGAAATGGAATGCAGTTCGAACTAGGCTTCACAGTACATCAGCTAGATCAATATTTTGATTCTCATACAAACATGGACATGAATACATACTCAAACCCTGAAAGCCTGAATACCGGCGGATTCAGTCAGACATGGGTCCTATTGAAGACCAATATATTGTAAGTGCCATTTACCAATAACACTGCAGTGCTTTATTGATGGACGGATGTGGGTGAAAATCCACTATGTCCCCCTGTAGTCTCGATTTTCCCTGATGGGCTTCCTTATAGACCCTTTGGAGTGCAACTCTACCTCATTCATTCAGAGCAGACTGGCATATTCTCGCATGAGCAATCTTTGATCTGTAGCATTCCTCATGCTAAGAATAAAAACATAAATTCAATGCAAAGGGCAATCCCAATAACTTCTTTCTCCCAAGCAATATGCTGTGCTTGCTTTAATGCCTCTGCAGCTGGCCTCTGTCGCCTGCTTTAACCCAATCAGTGACTCACCCAAGTTTCAATTTCACAGTGCGCTGCGCCCCGTGCTCTGGGTACTGTGAAAGCACTTCTGCTGCTGGGACTGCTGATTCATGTGTCCGGAAGGGCCATTATTACAGTCCCTCCATCAGATCTGTGTCCCGGCGGGGAATAGAGATTTACACGAGGCCCCACACATTTTGTCATTAAGATGTTAGAAGATATTATGAATCATCTTTTCGTATGAAGAATAAAAGAGTGTTTATGATTTACATGGCTCTCTACAGGACTGCTAATTGAGTTTCATCTATCTAAAGTGAGGTGTAAATATTCAAAGGCAAGGGAGAAAGAGCATGTGGGCACAGTTGAGGTAGTGTTGCTCATCTGACACGATTGTATAATAGATTGATTCGGCTTGGGGTTTAAATTCTCAAGAGATACTGTATAATGAGGAGCGGGTAATTTACACTCTGCCTCTTTCATTTGATGTTTTATTCATGTCAAACATTGTTCGATGTTGCTGTTGAGATGAAAAAGGAAAGACTGGTTCTAGCCACGCATGTTTAGAGCAAGTAGGAACGATCTTATTTAAATTAAAGTGCCAACAAATAACAGCACAGAGACACATCAAAACTAGATGCTCTTTTTAATTGCCACTTACTCATTAACGTTATGTAACTAGGGAAAATTCTACTTTAGTTAAGTTTAATGAAAAATAAACAATTTAATCTTAATTTACGCAGTTGGAAGAAATATTAAGTTTTAAGTTAAGTAAGCAACCTGACAGAAACGCAATTTTCTTCCCAATAGTTTTGACTCCTCTCAAGAACCCGTAACAACTCCTTGACATGCCTCCCTCTACAATTACTTTTCACAATACTTTTTGAAAAACACTTTGAATTTTTGTTTGCTAAAACCTTTGTTTGGTTTGATAGTTTGAAAATTGACAAACAAAGAAGCTGGGTAAACTAAGTCCAAAGTTTCTCCGAACTCATATGTATTGAAAATGTTCAGCACTCCCTGTATACCTTTAGAGGAGAAGTGGAGACACAGACAACCAGGGGTGTTTCTCAATCTCGAGTAAAGCTGCTCCAGAGCCACTATTTCAAGCATACTACGTCATCGAGTGCCGCCGAAGGACTGTTCCAATGTCCAGCATACTTGTAATTCTACCGAGCCCGGCGTACTTCGTTTGGAGAAATTTCGAGGCTGCACATGTGTAGACTCCGCGGTCTTAAAATCCCCACAATGCTTTGCGCACGGACCAATTTCCCCAAATCTGTGGCGGAGAATGTAAGGCGGGGCCATATGATGCATATGACGCACACCTGCACACTTGCTCGCCTGTTCCACTCTTCGTTTTCCGAATGCCAGGAAGTATTCTTGCCTCGCTTCTGAAGCAAGACGCTCAGAAGACATGTGCTACCAAGCAAGCGTACTCGACATTGAGAAACACCCCAGAAGTAGAGGGAAACTACCTTGAGCAATTTCCCAGAATGCTGTTAGACAGAATAAAGAGTATTTCTTATTTTAAAACTGCTGTCTGCTTTTATGAAATATGTTTTGCAGACAAAGTAACACAGTCAGTTATGGAATTAACTGAATAAATATAAAATAAATTAGGGTGGAGAGAAATGAACAAAAATATATAAGTTGTAGCCCAGACAAGTCAAACCTATCTGGATGTGGACACGTCACTGGTTTTAAGGGATCCTTGGTGAGGTAATTATAGCAATTTAACAGATATTCTTTATCTGGAGGCTTTATCCATGCATGTTTTTAATCAGACAACACATCCTTATATAATGACTCCAAATATTGCCATTATCCTGTGTTTAACAGCTACTGGCTATTGTTAACCTAACTTCCATAATAAATGAGACATACAAACAGTAAAAGTTATTTGTTAAGTGCATCTGAAGATCTGGATATATTTAACAAAACTGGTAAAGGCTGAGGATACCTTTCATTTGGTTTGTGTATAGTTAGAATTAGGAATAACAGGCCCTTTCATTCTGTGTCTATCTGTCTCACAAACACATACACTCACTCCAATCTTCCTTATCATTCTTGGCAGACTTATGGTGTAATTGTGATCTCTCTTTCATCTCTCCACCCAGGGGATGTACAGTTGTTGCCAGTTTGAGGATGAGACAGCACCTGGAGGTGGCTCTTTGCCTCAATACCACACCATGACCACCATGTCTACTGCTGCCCAACAACACCTTGTAACAGCCACAATAAATAACACGACTGCCATTGCCATGGTGCAGCAGCAACAGCAACAGAAGCACCACCAGCAACAGGGGCCGACCTATACGACCATGCTCCCCGGATCACCGCAAACTACAGGACATTCAGCAATGGCTATGGGACCCTCAAACAGCCCCTTGCTGGAAGGCCCCATGCCCTGCTCCACCTTCTTGCCTCGCCATGACCGCAGACTAGCGGTGGTTGATCGTTGGAACAGGCCAAAGCCAGAGAAAGTCATGAGTGTTAGCAGTGGTGGAGGAGTAGGTATTGGGGGAATAGCAGGAGGGATCACTGAACTTCAGGTGCCGCAGTATCAGGCGAACCTTGGACAGCACTGGAACCCATTAGGCGGAGTTGCAAGTGGAGCAGGGGGAGGAGGTGACACAGGGCTAGATGAATATAAGCGCTACTATGGTCCGATAGATCCAGAGGGGCTAGGGGCTAACTCTGACAAACAGGCAGGGGGACCCCAGCAGACTCCTAAAGCTAATCCTCGAGGCCCCAAAGCCTCAGGGATGCCAAGGATGCCTTCTAAAGTCCCTCAACAAGGACCAGGGCACTTAATCTCCCAGCCACCTCCACTGATCCCATCTTCCCCCCGAAGACCTCCTTTCTGGCGACGAGGAAGCCTAGCACAGGCAAGGAGAAAAAGCTTTGGAGGTCCCCTGTATGAGAATATACTCCCTCTAGGGAGACGAGGAGGTGGGAGGTATGGTGCAAGTGATGGAGGTGGAAGGAGAGGGCGACGTCCTCCTGCACCTCCTCCTCTGCCTGTTCCTCTCTGCTCCCCAACACATACTCCTACTACACCCTCCTCCCCATGCCGTTTCTACTCCTCCTGCTCCAGTGCCTCGTCATCCTCCTCTTCCGCTACATCATCCTCATCCTCTTCTTCATCATCTGTCTCACTGTCTCGGTCGAATTCCCCCTCGTCCTGCTCCAGTGACAGCTCCTACAACTCCTCATTGAGTTTTCGGTATCGTGCTGGCGACAGGGAACTTACGGTGGATGACGATTGTGACTCAGATCTGCTTACAGAGGAGTCCAGCCTCCTTCTGGGTACACGGAGGAAGATTCGTTCTCGTCGCATGTCATCACGCTCGCTGCCGTGCAGCCCTCCACCTCCGCCAGTCCCGCCCCGCAAACCACGCACTCAGAGAGATAGCGGCAGAGAGAGCAGAGAGAGAACTGGCAGCCAACTGGCCCAATTACAGGAGTGGTGGGCATCATGGGGAGAAAGAGAGCGTGTGAGGTTAGGAACAACAAGCCGGGGAGAAGGAGGAATGGGTAAAGAGGAAAAGAGACACCACAAAGAGAGGGAGCGTGAGAGAAAGAGGAGGAAGAAAGGCAGGAAAAAGAAGAAGAGGGAGGACAGGGAGAGAGAACGGGAGCGCAAGCGGCGCAAAGCTAAGAAAAGGAAGAAAGAGGACAAGACAAGGAAGAGAGAGCGGAAGAGGTCAGAGCAGGAGGGGGGAGATCCTGAAAAAAGGGAAGAACTCAAATCAGGGACACCAGATTACCCATCATACCCACCCTTGAGGCGAGAATCCTTTCGGAAAAAAAGTGAAAGCTCAATAAGAAGCTATGGATGGAACATCCCAGGTGAAGAGGAGAGGAAGGAAAGAGAAGAAAAAGAGAGGAATGATGGGGAAGACAGCAGAGGCAAAGAAAGACCAAACAGGAGAAGGAACAGCAAGCACTATCAAAGTTCGAGCAGTAAACCTTCGACATCTGTCAAATTCTGGGGAGGGGTCAACCCATCCTCTGACACCATTCCATCTGCCTTTCTGCCCTTGTTGCCTCTCTCCTCTAACAGGAGGAAGAGTAAAAGTTCAGACAGGGATGTTGTAGGAATTGAAGGAGAGAGGAGGCCATTGCTGGGACAGGGTGGAAGAGCTGAGATGGTTTCCAAGGAGGGGTTATCTTTCCACAAGTGGGAGTCTGGAGTAGAGGGGGAAGAAGAAGATTCTGAGCTGGAGAGGAGGAAAGCTGAACGTGGAAAGAGGCGAGGAGGAGGAAGGACAATGTCCGATGAAGAGCGAGAACGTGATAAGGTAGTCGGGATATATTCCGATGATGATGGTTCTTCAGGAGAGTTTGGGAAGTTTGAGAGATACTGGGAGGATCATGAAGGCAGAGCGGTAGGAGGTATTGGTGGGGGAGGTTGGTTTTTTAGCACCTACCCTTCCAGGGAAAAAGCCAGCAGCATCACAAGTAGAGATGACCTGTTCTTGGAGAGAGGAGAGAGGTGGGGGACGGCAGAAAGTGGATGGGGGTCTGGTGGAGGTGGCGGTGGTGGAGGAGAAGGAGTAGATGGAGGGTGGGGGTCTGGATCACACTGGCCCCCACCTCCTCTCACCCCACCACCACCCCGACGATACTGGTCGGTCGACAAACTCCACCTTCAGAATGAGAAGAAGAGTAAACGCAAGTCCAAGGACAAGGGGAGAGGGCGCGCAGGTTGTTCCTCCTGTCATTCCCCCCAACACCATCCGCACTCCCAATCCTCCAAATGGGCCCGGGTAACCTCACGTAGTGAGGAAGAGCTGTACCGCCAGAGTTTTGGTGGCCCACTGAAGCCTAAACATGACTCCTCAGCTTCCACCAAACTTGATCGCTCACAGAATCCATCCAAATCTGGCAGCCAGTCAAACCTCAATATCCAACAGAGGACACAAAGAGCAGATAGGGATCGAGATCGAGGACGACAATCATCCCCACCTCCGAACCTCATACCGAACTTGCCACCCCCACTTCCTGCCCTTCCAGCTCCTCCGTCTTCATCTCACCCTATCCACACTCCTCTCCCTACCTCTTCCTCTTCTGTATCCTCTCCCTCTGTGGTCTCATCAACCCCAGGGGCCCCCCAACCCTCTTCCATGGCTTCGGCAAGTGCCAAACTACAGTATCAGAGGTTGCGCTCTGTTCCCCAGCCCCAGAGGTTTCCTCAGTCTCCTCACGTACCCCTCAAAGCCAAGAGCCTTTGCTCGCGAAGGGGCTCAGCCCAGTTCTCCAGCGTGGAGAGCGAGGTGTGAATATCAAAAGTCATAAGAGCCCTGAAAGGGCTAAGGACAAGCAGGTGATCTGGATCTGAATCTGCCCTGCAGCAAACATGGCTGCACGGCCAAGTCAGAACAGTATACGCACTGTGCCCTTTCCTAAAGCTCTGCACAAACAAACCAGAAAGCCAAACAAATCCTATCCGGTAGTCAAAGGAAAACAGGAGAAATATTGTACTTGTTCCTTTCATTCCTCTCAGTATGTGAAAGACTACAACCACAGCAACAACTTGCATCCTGAACTGGATAATCAACCAATTACATTAAAAAGCAAATCTGACTTTAAAAGTGGTACAACTGAAAGAGACTCCTTTGCTATATCCAGTGAAGGTCTTTGGATGTTGAAGCAGCATAGTTTGTATTCTGAGGATTCTTAATGCTTACTGAGGGCTCAGGAACTTTGTAGTACTGTATGCCTGCTGCTCTCGGAAGCCTTTAACACAGAACCGTGTTCTTACATTTGTCCCTGAAACAATTCGCTTTCAACTGCTTTTCTTTTTCCTTAAGAAACTGTTTACACCCCCGCAGAACTGTGACACCCTCTGAGGCACCATTGTTGTGTTTGATCAATAACTTGTAGTTTGGAGGGAGAGGAGGGTGATAACCACCTTGTCTTCTCTGTGTTATTCACCCTTTCCTGTCTCTTTTGTTCTACCATGTCTTGTTCCCCTGTATTCTCCTTTCCCCCCTTATTTTCACTTGCTTTCTCTTTTCTCTGCTCTACGTCCCTTTCCTTACTACCTTTTTCAAAGCTGTCTTTTCGTGTCTCTTGTCATGTCCTCTCCTGTCCTCCCCACTTGGCTCCACTCGTTGATGTGATGATTATGTGTGTCTGTGCTTTTCTGTGTGTGTATTCTTGACAACAGGGTAAGTCAACTGTGACTGATATTCTACTGGCTTAATGAAAGCTGAGTGCCAAACTTAAGTAGAACTCGACATCAATCTGTACAATGTTAGCTGTTTCCTTTTTATCTCGCAGTTTTTCATCATCTCCTAAATCCGCGAACATGCAAATACACACTCGCACACTTAAAGTGCACACAAACACTAGCATACATGAACATGCAAGGACAAGTGCAAGTCAATTCATATTTTCTCTTTCTAGAGCAATACATAATTCACCTTCTGTTCATGTTACAATGTTATACTTTGAAACGTTTTATTCTGTGTTGTAGTTGTTGTTGTTGTTGTTGTTGTTATTGATTGTTTTCTATATATCAAGACATGTATTAAGTCTCATGCAATGTAAGCACTGTGCCATTTTTCTCAAGCTGCACATGAAACATTCTCTCAACTACCTAACTATGACAATGGAGGCAGTTTCTTTTCCCCTCCCTGTATTTGACTGAATGCGAAGTCAGCCACTATCACGTGTGCTGCGACAACAATTGAAACACTTGGAGATGGAAATGTAAGCATTTCTGATGGTTAGCGTGGGTGACAAATCGAAAAGATAGAAAAATAGTTGACTTTAGTTCATTGTCGATGTAGCCTGACGTAAGCAACGGTATGCTAACCTTAGCATGCTAAGTGCTCTGCTTATGAAGGATTACATCTGCAATGGGTCACAGTTTGAATAATTGTTTTGTTTTTTTTCTCCTGCAAGTATCCCAATTAGTGCCAAGAGTACAGAAGTACAGAAATAATTTGCCAATGAAAATTAATCTACCAAGATTTGAGTAGGAATGTGTCTAACATGCTAGGTGTAGCTACACAGCTTTGTTGGACAAGGTGAAAGATTGTTGCAGGGAAATAAATACTTATAGCCTTATGCTTGTTGCTCCTGTCATATATTTTGTGTAAAGTATGAAGGTTTGTGCTTTGATCAACATGTATGTGGTTAGCTGCATGCTATGAAGACAGTGTGATTGGAAAAGGGAGCGTTTTGATTGGTGCCATATCAGATGTAGTGCAAATGCCGTTTTGATGTCAAAGAGACCGTGCCTATGTTGAATGGTAGCTATAGCAGATGGTTTTGAAGAGGTTTGACTGATGGTGTATGAAAGACACAGTATCACCTCCTGTGCATTTTTCTGAATCATTTATCGTATCCGGTAAATGTGTCACTAAGAGCTATAGCTTTTTAATCCATGACCGAACTGACACCAGCAGTTACACTCAGATGTAAAGATCTTAGCTATAGTAGCTATTAATATCCATTAACATTCAAATTGCATCAGGACACTGGACATCAGTGGAGTTTTTTAATGGAGAGGCCTGAACTTCTGGCACAACACTGTGTGTGTTTTTCAGTCGGTTATAGTCCATCTATCCATTACCAGTTTGGTCAGCTCTTGTTTGCCTGGAACTGCATCTGAGCCATAATTTAATTCAGCTGAAGAAACAAAATGAGAACTTAAGTTTTAAACATAAACTTGTTTGTTTTTGTTTGCCTTTAAAAAAAAAAAAAAACCTATACATATATTTATCATATATATATATGTGTATTTGTGGCGGTGGTTAGTGTTAGAGAAAATTGTTGTTTAGCATCTTGATATTTTGGGATATGTTTTGTCATTCCAAGTCCATTGAAATAATAATATAAATATCATGCGTTAAAAACACACATGCTCTCATATTTACTAACAACAGGGAACTTATTATCAGTTTCTTTGACAAAGTTTGACTGTATTAAGCCAAGTTGGAGGCAGTTCAGTGCTTTGCTTATTCCAAACAGCAAATAACAAGCTTATACACATTTCAATGAAAGCAAGAAGTGTGTAGTAGAGTGAGTAAGTGTGACATGTTTCAGTGCATTCACACCGCAAGCAACTCCAGTCTGTTGTCTCAAGTACAAACAATCTCTGCGACCTAAAATCAAGCTAAAATCTTTCAAGAGGATTTGTGTTGCAGCAACAGTGAACAAGCATGTTTGGCACGTCCAACCTACGAAGCTAATGATGCAGGTATGGTTAGCCGAAGTCCATTGTGCCAGGCATAAAATATACACATACCACCATGTTATTGCACTTATGTGCAGAGCATAAGCTGCTAGCGGTGTGAACACAAAGCTTGGTTGTTTGAGAAACAAGCCACCTTTATGTCCTTCTCTCCCCTTGCCTCTTTTTTTCTCATGTCTTTCCACTGTGTTGTTGCGTGTCTGCAATTGTAAAGCTGGTCTGTTTAAAAAAAAAAAAAAAAAGGGTATGTGTGGATATATTTATTTCATCAAAAAGAAAAAAGAGCATATCTAAATACATATGATAGTATATTTCAAAGCACTAAGAGCTATGTTATTTAAGTTTGTCTACTACATTTTCGGTATTATCTCAATCAATGTCTTTTTTGTCTGTTTGTCTGTCTCCTTGTCTCAAACCTCCTTCCCAGCTCCCTACCCCCCAGCGAAAACAGAGACCAGTATGTAACTGTGTTTTTGCTCTCTTAAGACCAACCATTCACCTCCATTGGCTATCTACTGTAGCTGACGCTGAGATTTCAACAAAGTGACAGAGTGGAGGACTGCACGAGTGTCTTATGACCGTGTCACTGTAGCAGTGGTGGCGTGTCTTTGTCTACCTAGAGGGGCCTTTATTTTGGTGGAGGCTACGGATTAACAACTAATTAAACCTTTTATGGATACAGCAGCTTTTACCACAACTCTCACATATGTAAGAGTCACTTTCTCAACCCTGTTTTGGGTTTACATTGGACCCTAGAGTTTTTACCGCGGAGTAGAGTAAGGTGACTTCTTTGAAACACAATGTAGCGAGCAGCACAGGCTTTTTATTTGCATCTCTTAGTAGCTGTAATACTATACAAAAACTTGCACAGCTACCCCTGCCGACCAACTTATACAGTATACATAAGGACTTTGATATACGTAAATAGTGTGTTGTATCTGCCAAGCTGCTGTGCTGTAAACAAAAGAGAAAAAAAAGATTATATAAAATTATACACAACAGACACTGTTTCTTTCTTCATTTTACAAAACTGGTTCAAAGTTAATATGAGTAGGGCTAAATCTGCTTGCTAGTATGGTTTCCACTAAGGCCAAAAATTGCCTAACCAGGGCTTTCTTTTTATTATCACATCTTCAAACTTTTCGCCACATTTATTCCTGAATAAACAACAATGATCCTGCACACATCATTGAGTGGAACATGGAAACACTGCCTGAGATAAGAGATCCATCCTCCTGTCCAACCATTGCTTGCTTATGATACATTGATAAGTCAGTATGGTCAAAGATGAATAATTCTTCAACCCTGAGCCCTGGTAAGACCAGTTTTAGCCTGCAGTGGAAACACATCCACAGTTTCTGCCTGTTACACCTCTGAACAATGTCTCAAGGCCTTGTATTAATACTGCTGTATTGACTGTACGGGATGATGGCTAGTGGTGCAACACTTTATTGTCATAATCTCTCACAGGCACATTAAACACACAAACATGCATACACTGTCAGATGTACATGGGCACACACACACACACACAGGTTAGGGTGGTAGTGCTGCTACCCCTCCGATTCAGCCTTCTGCCACCTGTCGGGACAATTTTGACAATATTGTGCTGCACTGCAAGCAGGAAATAAATAAAAAAGATGATTTTAATAAAGAACTAAAACAAATGCCTGATATTTATTTTTGGTTGTGTGAATGTGTCTAAAAATATTAACACTGTTGTTATACTATTATTTTAAGATTTAAGGAATATAGTTCACGGTCCTAAAGAATAACAACTGTTTGCAAGCGGAAGAAATAAATAAGTATTTTAGTGGTTGACCACCAAAGGAACAAGACACCGGACAGCATTGTGCATGATGCCAGGATGCTTGTATAGTTTTTTTCTAACCCAGTTAACCACGGCCACTTTCCGCACCCATGTAAGTCTGTGGGACTACGTCATGGATGGATAAAGAGAATGTCTACTCTAGTTTGGGACTAAATATAAATGGGCCAGTTCAATCAATTAAGTGTTTATCAGATTAAGGATTGTCGTAGGAACTCGCATTGCAATCAGGGCAAGTGCAAAGCATTCTGCAAAACGTTACAGTGGTCTTGGGCAAACAGAATATTTAATTGAACCTGAAAGTGTTGGAAAGTAAAACAAAATCTCAAATACTGTACTAATGTACAAAACAGGATGAAAGACAAAAGAAAGGTGGGAAGAACAAACGTAAGAGTTGGGAGACAGTGCTCAGTTCTCTTGCTGTCATTTCTGCTGACTAAAGGCCACCGCTGAGTGTATTAGGAACACTGCAGATATGGATAAATCTCACAGACACTACCTCTCTCTCTCTCTCTTACTTCTTCTCCTTCACTCCACTACACACACAGTCACATACACACACATGCTCCCTCTCGCAAGTAGGAATTACCTTCTAATACTTTTTCTCCCTGCCATTTTACAGTCCTAATTACACAGTAGGTTCAGGAGTTCAACGTGTTGACTCGGAATGAGCTTTTACAACAAAGCACACTATAAAAGGCAACCGTACTTCCGCTGTCACGCATGCTTTGATTAATGTCCTCTTTTAATGTCTCTCCTGCGGTGGTCACCTGCGTAAATGTATCTGCATAGAACTCCCTATATCCCTACTCCGTATATTCTTATGTGAAGGGTAGTAAAATGCCAGGGTCACAGTTCATCGGGATGAGGCTTCTCCCCTGAAGCACTCAGTGTCACATTTACGAGGCGCCCTGAACCGGTGTTTAATTACATAATGGACTTTCCTAATGCACTTACAGTAAATGACACCATGTGATAATGCATTCACTGCTGACCTAAGGGGATGTTTAGTAGCAAAAATGCATGTAACCCGTCTTTTATCATTTATACGAGGTTATGTCTAATTATTTTTAAAGGGTGAAGTAGATACAGTTCCTATAAAAAAGTGTTTACCTTTTTGGACGTGTTCATGTTTTATTTGTTCTATACGGCATCACTGACATCAACAAAGAAAGACCATGATGTCATAGCAAAAACAGATGTTACAATGTTTAATACAAATACAAAGTATTCACAGGTGCAGCTGATGCGACATGATTAGTTAAATGGGGATCACCTGTGTGTAGTCACATTTCATTTGACTATCGTATAAATACACTTGTAACTGGGGTTTTATGTCAAATTCTGTAATTATAACAAAAATAAACTCTAAGCAAAGTGATTAAGAAACTGAGACAGATCTATTAAAGCCCCAATATAATAGTTCTGCGTAACTTACTTTAACTTTACCTTAAATAATTCCCTAACACACATAGATACAGCATATTGAATGTTCCACTGAAACCTGTTTTGTTTTATTCCTAATATGTACAATTCACATATTGAAAATAACAGGGATTGTGATTCATGCTAGCCGCTGTTGAGCAACTAGAGCAAAACTTAATTTACTCTTTTAAAACAATTCTTGCAGCCAGGTTTCAAGACCTTGTTGAAAGTCTAAATTCAGAATCAGGCAGTCACAGCAGCAAATACATGCGTGAGGCTTTTGCAATATATAGATATCAAGCTTTCTTTACAGCCCTACTTGCAGGCTGAATGTAATACTGAATAAAAGCAATATGCTAAGTACAAACACACATGTGATATTCCATTGACCTTGCTCTCAGGCACCATGGCTGCTTCTCACATCTCTTAAATGCAATCCTTGCGTCCCTCACTTGCGTCTTTTACCACGAGAAGGGAGAAGAAGCAGGGAAATTAGTTGTAAGAGCAATGGGACGTCCTTTCATCCGGAGCATCACGTGTGCCGCACAGCTGATCGTCTGACAGCAGCCAGCTCTGTCCCCGTTATTTTCACAAACACCCCCGCCTCTGTTAGTAGGCCTACACATTTACTGACATAAACATTTGTAGGCTATCATCTGTTGTAGACCCAAATAAAAATAAAATAAGAACTCATTCTCAAAAAAGATAAACGCCATTCTTAAAATGTATTAAACGAACAATAGTTTGATTAATATTGATTTGAGTGCACAATAGAAATAAAATAATTCAGAGAAGAAAAAGAGATATATTATCTATCAAACCCCAGTTAGATTAACATTAATTGGATTGCACATTGTGTTTGTTTGTGTGGTTCTGTAGCTAAATGAAAAGGAAAAAAGCGATCATGAAAATGTTTACAATAAATGAATAAAATGATTTTTGTCCACTTTGTTGTTCAGATATATCACATATTTGTCACTAAATGATACATTAATTTAAACAAAACACTTTATAAACTGAGGAGTGAGTCCCGTGAGTTTCATGTGTTTTCTTCACTCCGCTGGTAAACTGCTCTCATGTCAAGAAGCATAAGATCAGTGCATGCGTTGCAGCTGCAGCGTCCAATCAGTGAGCGATACACAGTAAGGGGATGGGGCGGGTGGCTGATGATTTCACCGGGGGATGGTCTGGTTGTTCCTCGAGTCACCTAGGCTAGGGCACCAGATCTAGAGGGGCGCTGCTCTGGGAGAAAAATTCTGCCTAATTTTCTGCCCTTGATGTAGGCTAATACATTTACATTAATAATTGAATAAAGTAAACACCCTTTGGACCCCGGGCCGGCAATATTTTTGCATTTGCCCTGTACGATGGGCGCTGTAAGTGAAGAAAGTGGGGGATGTTGACTTATCAGGCGCCCGCAGCTCACAGCCAAAGTGCGAGCGAGCGTGCGAGCGAGCAAGAGAGAGAGAGAGAGAGGGCACCTTCGGTACCGCGGATTGTTGTTGGATTGAGGTTGATAACTAGAGCTCAGTTACCTCATTCACACCAACGGTGTTTCAGGGCCGGTTCGGAACTGGAGCTTGAAAAGCACCGGGTTTTCCTCTTCACACCGCAGCGGAGCAGCCTCTTAGCTCCGGAATCCGGTTCGTTTCAAGCACCAAAAAATGGTCCGGCCAGAGCAAAAGCACCACATACGTCACGCTTACCCCCTAATCGCACCAGGAGAGTCTGCGCTGCGGCTGCGCCGCGCTGCGACCTCCTCCTGCGTCCTAACCCACCAGGCGCGTTTCAAAACGTTGCGGAAGCGGAGCGTCTTGTGTGCAGCCTTGCAGTTGTTGGATGAACATTCCACTTCCTGCCTGCGCCGCGCTGCGCCGCGTCAAAAATAGGATTCATCCTATATTTTAGAAATTCCTTGCGGCGATGAGCTTCTGGGACGCTTCGAGCCGCGGAGCAGCGCGGCGCAGCGTGTCTGGTGGAATAGCACCCATTGACTAGAGTGGCCGCGATCGCTAAAAACGCCGCAGCCGCAGCGCAACGCAGCGCAGACGCTCCTGGTGGGATTAGGGGGTTACGTCGAGGCGGGGGCAGAGACAGATCAACTCCTGAACAACAACAAAAAGCCCGCGTTTTATCCAGTTTGTACACAACGATGGAGAAACTTAACAAGAGTTTCAGTGTTTCTGTCATAGACTGTATAAAGGTTTCTGCCATAGATTGTATATATAAAGGTTCCTGCTCACGGTGAAGCAACGTGTCTGCGTGTTAAGGTGGAACCTGAGCATTCACGTTGATTATACTGCTGCAAAGCCACTATTTCAAGTATACAATAGAGGCTTCTCAATATTCAAATTTCCCCTCCTCGACTCCTCGGTCCTCCGGTAGTGACCCGGAAATGAATTTCAGCGCGCCATTTTGAAGGACGTCTCATTTCTCTAAATGCACACCGAGGACCGAGCATCGAGCGTCGAGGAGGCTCTCTGGAGGAGCTATAACCGAGGATACACTGATGGTTCCTCCACGGATGCATTTCCGGGAACGGTGGAGGCGCGACGCACTTATCTCAGCCAATGACAGCTATGCATGCATCCCCTGGATATTATTTTAGAAACTGCTTTCATCGCGTTGCGATGTTTCCAGAGAGAACAGCTGTAAGGTCCATGCAGAAAGCAGAGCAGTGTGTATAATATATATCACTCAGTATAACAGGCCTACTCTCTTTATTTGCTTTAGTTTAGTAGATATCTACAAACAAAGAGTCGATATTTTTCTAAGACCATTGCTTCACATAATAAAATACACAACGGCTTATGCTTTTGGAGCTGTAGGTGTGTGTGGTACAGTGTGTAGGTGTGTGTTGTACAGTGCGTAAATGCGGCGGACAGACGGGTCTCAGTTGGTTTGGTGTCTTCTGCTTACTTTTAATAGGCCTACTTGTAAATACAACTTTTGGCCCGTAATTTCAATTCCCCATTTCAGCGACCAGAGAGAGGGGGGGATATATCCAGTCTCTGATTGTGCTACGTTATTATGAGAGTGCTCTCATACTTTAAATTGTATATATTTATATAAATATATTTGTGTGTGTGTGGCCGCATCTGTAGCCTGTTATTGTCTTATTATACCGCACTCTCAATGAATTCAAAGTAAATATGTGGGGGAACAATGTTCAGCTGATCTAACAGAGATACAGCACTATGACAAAACACTCGACAGCATAGCCGCGGGAAGTAGGGGTGCTGGGGGTGCTGTAGCACCCCCTATTGGCGAGTGGTATATATATTTGAAAAACTGAGTGACCACCTAAATAAAAATTATTAAACTACATAAAATAGTTATGATTTTACTTAAAATAAAATTAGCTGTATACAGTAGCATATAATAGTCATAGTATATATTTGTATATATCAGGTG